CCCCAGTTCCTGGCTGAGATCCCCGCGGGGAGAAAGCTGGCCTTGGGTTGGGAATGAGGAAACCACACGTTACTCGCTGGGGAAAAGGACACAAGGAAGTGGGCAGCGGGGAGACCGGGAAATGACCTGGTCCGTAGCCGGGCCAGGGGGGTCTTTGTCACTTTTGTTTCCTGTGGCCTTTCAAAAGTTTACTTTGTATCCTGATGTGACAGGTAATTGCCTATTCGGATACCATATAGGGAAAAAGTAGCAACTGTTAGTCTGACGCTGACTACCCACCAAAAAACCCCACTGCGCCGAGTCGATTCTGACTCATGGTCACCCTATGTTAAGTGTAAGGTTTCTGAGGCTGCAAATCTTCACAAGTCTTTATGAGATGAGAAAGCCTCATCTTACTCCAGGGAGTGGCTGGTGGGTTTGAACTGCTGACCTTGCAGTTAGCAGTCCAGCAAGTAACCTATTACGCCACCAGGGCTCTTAAGTTTTTGCCCACTGTTGACGTGGAACGGATCGGGATTGTGCTAAAGAACACAAGTGGAACTGTGGAGGGCTGCGGGGTGTGGGTGGGGAGGTGGCAGAAGGGGGCTTGTAGCTCATCTATAGGATAAATTCTATGATGAAAGTTCGTCCCTTCGAAATGGATTTGCTCCTCTGTGCCTTTATTTTGGGAAACTTTCTTGGCCCCAATGGGAGATGGGAGAGTGATGGAGAAGCTGAAATTGACCCAGAAAAGAATGATTGAAAGTAGTTGTGTTACTACCTGGTGGCACCGGAAGGATCCCTCCCTGAACTTGCTGAAAGGATGAGTTGGTGAGTGGCAGCCAAGGTTGTGCTTTTTTGAAAGAAACTTACGGTGGGTTTTATGTTTTGTTATCAAGAGGAAGAACCTGCTTTTTAGGGCCAACCCTTCCAAAGCTTTTAAAGTAAGACAAATTCGAAACCAGAAAGGCTTTTGCTGTATACTTTAAAAGATCCCTCTATTCCCTGTTCCTTCTCCATCTCTTCCCCCACCCCTTGTCCCATAGGCACTCCATGACTAGTCACCGAATACACTGAGGATGGAGAGTCCCTGGGTAACACAAATGGTGTAGTGCTCAGCTACTATCCAAAAGGTTGTCAGTTTAAACCCACCCAGAGGCTCCTGGGAAGAAAGACCAGGTTGTTTGGTTCTGAAAGGTCCCAGGTATGCAAACCCGATGGGGAGCAAGCAGTACTACTGTGCACCCAGTAGGTCTCCATCACTGGAATAGATTCTTTGGCACCTGGTTTGGGTGTTCTTCAGTTTTACTCAGTCTCACCCATCTCAACTCATTGGGGCTCCCAGTGGGATTTTAAGTTGGGATGAGTACTGTATCAGGGAATTTCAAACTGGAAGTCAGGGGAGCTCTCCCTGCAGGGTGAGAGTGAGCAGGAAGCAAACAGAGCAGAGGGGGAGAGTGGAGGAGAAGCCAGGCAGGTTGTCACATTGGCCACAAAGAGTGGCAAAGAATTTTCAAAGTAAAATGTATGACCCAGAGAGCCCTGGTGGCATAGTGGATTAGAGGTTGGGTTGCTAACCACAAGGTCAGCAGTTTGAAACTACCAGCCACTCCTGGAGAAAAAGGTGAGACTTTCTACTCCCTGAAAGAGTTAACAGTTTCAGAAATTGAAAGGGGCAGTTCTCTGTCCTACCGGGTCACTATAAGTCAAACTAGACTCTATGGCAGCGAGTTTAATCTTGGATCAAGTAAAAGTGCCACATTATAGTTCCTTAAGTTGGAGATCAAATTTCCCTTTAAAAAAAAACAACCTCACTTATTCAAAATGGCGCGGTTGTAATGCTCAAATATAGAACAGTTTGAATAATAGATAACTCATGGGTTTTGAAATGGGTCATCTTTTTAAATGGGTCACTTTGGCACTTGGTAATTTTCAAATTGTCAAGGGTCAAGTTCTTTCCAAGGACCATCTGCACTAGAATCTAAGTAACAGGGCAATAGCTAGTGATTAGAAAGTGGAAGAAACGGAGATGAAAATGTCCCTCTCTCCATATGCCATAATGTTCCTTTCGTTTCGGGAGTTTTATAGATGCTCAATCGTTCTACAACTTACTGGTAGTGCTTTAACTGATTAAATTCATAATTTGCTGGATCTTATAATCTTATACCTATTTCATCTTCATCGAATGTTTATGAGAACCACATTCTTCTCTGTCAAGATAACTTATTCAAGATCATGTTCAATCAATTAAGATTGTTGTGTTAGGTGCTATCAAGTTGGTTGACTCATAGTGACCCCATCCCCAACTAAACCCCTAATAAATGCCAACCATCTACTAAATAAACCATCATGGCACAAAGATAGAAAGAAACTAGCACACATTGAACACCTCTTCTGAACTACATATTGTCACGAAATGATCTCAAATGGTCCTCAGAACCCTGTGGTACGTGGTTCCTAGATGAGCCAAGCTCATGTGATTTGGAAGAAGAGCTGGGCTATCAATACTTTTGGTTCACATTTTGAGAGGTGGTTTTTCCGTCTCTCCTTTTGCCCCGCCTCTGTCATTTCCAGGATCCAGCTGGCACCAGAGTATTCTCTTCTCACTGGTAGAGGAGCTACACTTGAGACCTCCTCTGGAGTCTTCACTGCACCCTGCGTGTAGCAGTGCACCCTGCGTTTTCACTGCATTCTGCGTGTGGCCTGCTGCACAGTATGTGACGGGTAAGCGCTCAGTAAGTGGTAGTTGAATGATCATAAATGGTGACTGACCAATGGAGACAAAGATACCTTATGTGCTATACACACTTTTAGTTGCTGGGCTCTGTGATGTAAAACTTAAATGAATGCTAACTTGTTGCTAATTGTGATGTGCAGAACAGGGCATTGGGACTACCATTGGACCACGGGTGTCACCTGCTGGACTCCTTAGTTGGGGATCCAGTTTGCACATCATCCTTTGACCTCAGCTCGCCTCTCTGTTCTACTCACATTACCCTCACTCAGTTTCTTGGTGTTCTCCACTTGAGCTACAACTGATTTCTGTTACATGCTTCCAACAGTCCTGGGATGCTCTCTCCTGGACTGTCTTTTTCCTTGTTCCCTGCACCTGACCCTTCCAAACCAGCCACCTGTCCCTCGTTCCTTTCTCACTCTCTGAATTGTCATCTTCTCCTCTCCTCCTCAAACCATGCCCTCCTTCTCCCCATTATTCTGGGGTCCTGCTCAGTATAGAGCCCTGATTTCCATCTCCCTCCCCTTCCACACACTCATCTTCTTCATGCAACACCTTGTTAGTTGAAGGGTTCCCAACATCAGGTGGATGGATGAATTGTATACTGTTCTCACCTCCCTCAGTCCCCCCAGCCCCCGACGACATACATTTCTAATGCACCTCGGTTGATTTTTTTTTTTTTCTGAGACAAAGCCATCCCAAGAAATCTCAAGAATGTTTAAACAATTCTAGTTTGAGAACACACTGGTCTGTTAGTAACCCAGATAAAGCAGTCATTGTGTCTGAACATGACTAGCAGGGGTGGGGCTGGGAGTGGTGGCGACTGTCAGCATGTTCAGACCATTTTAAAGGGGTGTGTGCGCATTTTAATGATTTATAGATGATATTATTCGACTGTGTTTGGGGACATATCGAGGTTCCCCTTTAACAAGGTTTAAGCAGATTGTTCTGGGCTGCTGCTTACGGCTTTACAATGGGTCAGCATGCTCATTGTTTCCATTCTGCTTGTTCTGTTTCCATTGATCTAGCCTCCCCTCTCCCCCTTGCCTTCTCATCTTTGTTTCTGGGTAACTGTTGACTAGTCTTAGTTCATTGTTTAATGGAGCACACTACTTGTAAAGGATACTGTTGTTTTTTTTTAATGATAATTCAGTTGAAAGGTGCCTTGTAGAAATCACTTCAATTCCAAGTTCAAAGAGTATGCTAGGGTGGCAGTTGCAGGGGCTCCTCACGTGTCTAGTAGGTCTGACTGCTTTTAGAAATTTGAGTTTTATTCCATATTTTTCTTTCATTCTGTCCAGAACCTTCTATTGTGTCTCTGGTCCCAAAGGTTGGTCATGGGAGCTCGGCACCATCTAGTTCTTTTGGTGTTCCTGTGGGTTGTTAGTTTTGTGGATAGGTTTCTTCTTTGATCCTTTGACTTCCCTTATTCTCTTTTGCTCCATTTGAGACTAGTAGTTGTGTCTTAGATGGCTGTTTACAAACTCTTAAGACTCTAGACATTACTCGTTAAACTTGGAGTAGATTTTTGTGTGTGTGTGAACTGTGATATGCCAATTGGCCATGTTGTCGCCCAAGATTATGGTCCCTAATCTTTTGTCCCAGTAAATCTACCCTGAGAGTGGTTTGGATCTGTCAAGAGAGCCTCCAGAGATGTTGCCCCTATGTGGTTTATTGTAGATATATTTAAAGGATACACAAATGTGTAGATATGCCTACAGATACATATACACGAGTATGCATTTAATCACATATGCTTTTCTATACAAAGGAGTCCTGGTGGCATAGTAGTTATGAGTTGGGCTACTAACCGCCAGGTTGGCAGTTCAAAACCACCAACCATTCCTTGGGTGCAAGATGGGGCTTTTTAGTTCCGTAAAGAGTTAGTCTCAGAAACTCACAAGGGCAGTTCTACCATGTCTTTTAGGACTGCTATAAGTCGGCATTGCCTTGATGGCATTGAGTTTGTTTTTTTTTAATTTGCCTTTCCATACACATATATGCATCTGTATCTACCTACATATCCTTACAACATATGCTTATTGATTTAACTTGCTGCAAAATTGTTATTAGTTACAGCATTTGCCCAAATGGCTCCCTTTCTTCATGTGCTTCTTATTGTCTTCATTCACTTTGTGCCAATTTCACTCATATTTGGGATTGTCTTTCCCATCACCAAAAGTGACCAGTGTCTACTCCCTAGAAAGTGATTTCTTCCTTCTATTCTTGGAAACCATCAAAGAACTTGTATCTATTCTTTTCTTCCCATCGGGAAACCATATAGCATTAGCCTTTTTCTTGATTGGTTTATCTCACTCAGCACCATCTCCTCCAGATTCATGCATGATATAAGATGTTTAGCACTCTCCTTAGTACTCTTTATAATTGCATATTACTCTATTGTATGTGTTACAGCTTGTTTATCGATCATCAATTGATAGGCGCTTAAACTGTTTCCATATTTTTGCATTTGTGATTATTGCTATTATGAACATAGGTGTACACTGGTCTCGTATCTCTAGGACATATACCTAAAGAAGGGACTGCCTGATCATAGGCATTTCTATCTCTAGCCTTTTGAGTAAGTGACATACTGTTTTCTGTAGAGGCTGTACCATTTTACAATTGCAGTATTAACGTGTATGGTTTCCAGCTCCCTGCCCCCCAATTTCTGCAGCATTGATATTTTCTGGGTTTTTTTTATCATGATCATTTTTGCAGGAGTGAGATGATATCTTATTGTAGTTTTGATTTGCATCTCTCTAATGGCTCACGATCATGAGTGTCTTTCCATATATTTGTTTGCATGAATTTCTTCTTCGGTGAAGTGTCTGTTCATGTTCTATACCTTTTTTGTTATTGTTAACTGAATTGTGTTTTGTTGCATCATTGAATTGTTCTGCATATTTTAGTGAATAAACTCATATCAGCTAAAATCTTTGTTGCCAAAGATTTTCCCCTCATCTGAGTTTTTTTTTACTCTCTCGGGCAAAGAATTAGGAGATCATAAGTATTTTCATTTTTAGGAGGTCCCTGTTACCTGATTTATCTTCTGTTGTTTTTTGCATTTTTCAAATTTTGTGTGATAGATCCTGTATGGCAAAAGTTAGGTTGCCTAGGTTTGCCCCAGGTTATTTTCCAGGAAGTTGATAGTTTTAGTTTTGACATTTAGGTCTTGATGCATTCTGAGGTAGTTTGAGGACATGGTGTGAGGTATGGATCCTGGATCATTTTTTATGCATATGGACATCCACTTTTGCCAGCACCGTTTGTGAAAGAGATTATTTCTGCCCCCACTGAATGGCCTCTGACCCTTTGATGAAGATCAACGGCCCGCAGATGGGTTTATCTCTGGGTTTTCAATCCTCTTTATTGGTCTGCGTGCTTGTCATTGAACCAGAACCTGAACTTGGCTCCTCCGATTGCTGTGACAGTTGCAGTAAGGCCCCCCACATTTTTGCTTGTTTTTCAGCATTGTTCTAGCTATTTGGGGGAGTCCCTTTTCCCATTCCATATCAAATTGGATATTGAATTTTTATCATTTCATTAAAGCGTGTTGTTGGGGTTTGCACTGTTATCTATAGATCACGCTGGGTAGTATTGACTTTTGCACAATGTTCATTCTTCTATATTTGGGCATTTCTGTAGTTCTCTTTTAGTTTCTTGCCCATAGTGTCTTGCAAAATTTTGTTTTCCTTGCGAGAGCGATACATTTTAAGCAATAACATTTATTCTTTTTTTTTTCTTCATTTATTCTTATTGAGGGGGGAACTGGTACTTTGGTTCATCCATGAAGCAGCCAAATTGGGATGGAGCACGACCTATCTTGTGTGCTATTTTATGAGTTGACTTTGCATTTTTCTTCAAAAGTTCCAGCTTTACACATGTGTGTTTTAATACTAGCTTTTAATGACAGCTTTCCCGGGGCCAGGTGTGTCTGTGTTATACAACTTCTTTACTTTTGTTTTATGGAATATATGTATGAAACATCCTAACTGAATCCGATACTTAACATTTCCCTCGATTCTCCTTCCCATCCCGCCTTCCGCCCTCCATCTCGCTTTCTTTCATAAATCTCCTCTTTGGCCACTTCGGAGTTCATTTTCTAGGTCCTTCAGTCTTTGTGGAGGAGAGACTCCAATCATGAGATTCATTTTGTCTGCTGTCTGGTAAAGCGGTGTCCGGGCTATCCGAACCAAATAAGAAAAGGGAGGGCGATTTAAGGCTAAGGATTAGGAAACGGGTATGGTCCTAAAATCAGAACCAGTGCTGAGCAGAATGCACATGGTAGCTCAACATCAATTAGACAGAGAAGCAAATGCATTGCTTCCTCGGGCTGCTTCTTGTCCCTGTGTCACCCTACCCCGCTTCCTGACCTGAGGGACAGGGAGAAAGGACTTAGGTGCCCAGGGAGGGACAGAACTGGGCAGTCTCTTCTGCGCTGCCATGGGTTTGGGATTTAGGTGAGGACACGGTTCATCAGTACCTTTGTGCCTCAGGACCCCCTTCTACAATATGAGGGTGATCCTTTTCCCTGCTAGGCCTGAAGAGTCTACATAGGTGTGCGTCAGAAGTGTGTCCGTGCCCGGGAAACCCCTGTGTGTTCGCAGTGCTGGAGCGGTCCACAGAAGGAGTTGTTCCAGTGGACAAAAGTAACAAAGCCTTCTGACTTGTATTGAGAAGAGCAAGCAGCCCCATTGACCCAGACAGCTGTGCTGCTGGACCGAAGACCAAAGGCACAGCTTAGAAAAGCAAACGTCTGTGCTCGCTGACATCTGCTTTCCATTTCATCTCTTATTTGTTGAAATTCTGCATCATCTAAACTAGTACTGGGCAGATCCTGGGCATCATTCAAGGAGCCCTGATAATGTCATGGGCTACATGTTGAACTGTTAAGTGCAAGGTCAGCAGTTCAAAACCACCAGATACTGTGTGGGAAAGGGATGAGGCTTTCTACTCCCACCCATTTACCCAGAATTCTCCGGGGTCT